TGCAAAAAGCAATTCAAATGTGAAAAAATAAACATAAAAATAAATATTAATTTTGTGTCCAAAGCTATAACTTTAAAGTCTTTATAATCAAATCCATTTGTGCTTCCACTACTCTGCACACTGTCTCTCAGAAAGTAATGACTCCTTATACAAGTGAGTCATATAACACTTTTCAATTTGGTCCCCAGGGCCATGGATAAGGGGGTAACACTAGTCCTCTTGTATGGGGCCCAGGCCAGCAGGGGGGCCTAGACAACTGGGTGAATCAGGGAGAGTGATCGGCACTGCAGGGCAACAATTACTTGAATCGATCCCCTGTATGGCTCTCTCTGCAGCAGCTGAAAGCTCCCTCTCCTCTCCCTCCTGCTGGCTTTCAGCTGCTGCAGAGAGAGTCAGAGACAGAGAATGGGTTCCAGGAATTGCCCTTCCGCCACACCCATCACCCTCCCTGTGCACCATACATTTCCCCCTGCTGCCCTGGCCCACCTGTATGCCCCCACAGTGCTGCCGGCTTCCCTCCTCTCCTTCCCAACAACAGCTGCAAGCACACAATAGGAACCTTCATGATGGAGAAGAGTCCAGAAAATATGTCACATTTACCAGCCCCTTTCTTTCCTGAATGAACACAATGAGTGATCGATACTGTGTTCATTCATAGCTGAAGCATAGTAAACTGTTATTTTTTTTAAGGGGGAGGGGGCCTGTCAGGTTGTATGGGGCTCTGTGGTTTATAACAGCAGCCCTGGTGGTCCCTATATATGGCAGGTTCTCAAGAAGCTTTCCTTGTTCAGTTATTTTTCCGTTTTCACCTTACAGCAGTAATCTTTCATAATAGATAAGTAGAATACTCATTAGGAATTAAAGACCAAGTAAATATACATACGGTATCTCCCAGAAGTGAGTACACCCCTCACATTTTTGTAAATATTTTATTATATCTTTTTATGTGACAACACTGAAGAAATTACATTTTGCTACAATGTAAATTAGTGGGTGTACAGCTTATATAACAGTGTAAATTTGCTGTCCCCTCAAAATAACTCAACACAGAGCCATTAATGTCTAAACCGCTGGCAACAAAAGTGAGAAACCGCTGGCAACCCCTAAGTGAAAATGTCCAAATTGGGCCCAAAGTGTCAACATTTTGTGTGACCACCATTATTTTCCAGCACTGCCTTAACTTTCTTGGGCATGGAGTTCACCAGAGCTTCACAGGTTGCCACTGGAGTCCTCTTCCACTCCTCCATGACGACATCACAGAGCTGGTGGATGTTAGAGACCTTGTGCTCCTCCACCTTTCATTTGAGTATGCATCACAAATGCTCAATAGGGTTTAGGTCTGGAGACATGCTTGGCCAGTCCATCACCTTTACCCTCAGCTTCTTTAGCAAGTTAGTGGTCATCTTGGAGGTGTGTTTGGGGTCGTTATCATGCTGGAATACTGCCCTGCTGCCCAGTCTTCCCAGGGAAGGGATCATGCTCTGCTTCAGTATGTCTCAGTACATGTTGACATTCATGGTTTCCTCTATGAACTGTAGTATCCCCAGTGCCGGAAGCACTCATGCAGCCCCAGACCATGACACTCCCCACCACCATGCTTGACTATAGGCAAGACACACTTGTCTTTGTACTCCTCACCTGGTTGCCGCCACACACGGTTGACACTATCTGAACCAAATAAGTTTATTTTGGTCTCATCAGACCACAGGACATGGTTCCAGTAACCCATGTCCTTAGTCTGCTTGGCTTCAGCAAACTGTTTATGGGCTTTCTTGTGCATCATCTTTAGAAAGATGCTTCCTTCTGGGACAACAGCCATGCAGACCAATTTGATGCAGTGTGCGGCGTATGGTCTGAGTACTGGCAGGCTGACCCCTCACCCCTTCAACCTCTGCAGCAATTCTGGCAACACTCATACGTCTATTTCCCAAAGACAACCTCTGGATATGACGCTGAGCATGTGCACTCAACTTCTTTGGTTGACCATAGCAAGGCCTGTTCTGAGTGGAACTTGTTCTCTTAACTGCTGTATGGTCTTGGCCACCATGCTGCAGCTCAGTTTCAGAGTCTTGGCAATCTTCTTATAGCCTAGGTCATCTTTATGTGGAGCAACAATTTTTTTTTTTCAGATCCTCAGAGAGCTCTTTGAAATGAGGTGCCATGTTGAACTTCCAGTGACCAGTATGAGAGAGTGAGAGCGATAACACCAAATTTAACACACCTGCTCCCCATTTACACCTGAGACCTTGTAACACTAACGAATCACATGACACCGGAGATGGAAAATGACTAATTGGACCCAATTTGGACATTTTCTCTTAGGGGTGTACTCACTTTTGTTGCCAGCAGTTTAGACATTAATGGCTGTGTTAAGTTATTTTGAGGGGACAGCAAATGTACACTGTTATACAAGCTGTATTGTAGCAGAGTGTAATTTCCTCAGTGTTGTCACATAAAAAGATATAATAAAATATTTAGACAAATGTGAGGGGTGTACTCACTTCTGGGAGATACTGTACAGTAGGTAAAAGTTTGCGTTTTTGTGATTTGTTCATGTAAGCCCTGGTTTGTAAAGAATACTGTCAAAAACATTTTTTTTTTGCTGCATCTCTAGGTCCATGTAAAAAGTTATCCAAAAAGCTTACAGCTTTAATAACCTAATAAATAAAGGATATAATTTGATCCTAATTTTCTGCATTCATCAATGGTTAGCACAGTATAACTCTCTACTACTGCTAATGGAATATATACTAAGGGATATTATCAAATGTCAAGGTGTGCATTATTCTACAGTACACATCGGTGGATCAATGGGTCCAGGAAACCTGTACACTCCAAATACTGTAATAGCACCACTAAAGGAATGTGCCTCCTATACAGCCTCTGATGAAAGCAATGCTTTCAGCATCTACAAACATCATGTATATTATGGTTCACAGCAGAAGAGAACAATTCCTTTATCTTCGTGTATGAAAAAAGAAATGTTTAGTTTATCCAGCAATGCGCAGCTGTGAGCAAGCCTAGAGATTGTGCTTTGAAAGCCTGCACAGACAAAGGTTGTTCAAAGCCCATTTCCTCCTGATAAAGAGGGAGTGAAGTTGGTATTTAAAAAAAAAAATGTCAGGAAACCTTGGGAAAGTGTCTGCAGCTAGAGACCCTGGAGCCTGCTATTAGACACATATCCGGGCACTCCCTAAACTTCCGCAGCCTGTACAGTAAAATAATTGAGCTCAGGAAGCCATGTTAACTAATGGAGTACCTGCTGTATGAAATTTATTATGGGCCATATATTACACGTCCTTTATACAAAAGTGAGAATCTTTATTCATCTTAGAACAATGCAAGCAACAATGAAGCCTTTCACAAAGGATCTGCATTTTTTTGGGTTATTTTTAGCAATACAGGAAGTAGACGATTTAATGATTTCCCAAGGTCATGGACCCACACCAGTTTTAACGTGTTGTATGTAAACCTCTTCACAACTCTACAATCACCTGTAAATACAAAACTCCTCTTATGGTTATGATGATTTTGTTTTGTGTCTGTTAAATAACCAGATCAGGAAATAGCCATGCCACAGAATAAAGCTGATCCTGCATTCTAAGGCTACATATAAAACTAGAGTAAGAAGAAATGTTGGATTTTAAGTCGAAGTTGGTTTATCTATGAAGGATTCTTTGTAGGAAAAATCTTTCTAGGACGTGTATTTCTCTGCAGACCTTTTCCCCTTTTCACATACAGGATTTAGACCAAAAAAATGGAAACACTGCATGATTTGCAGGAGTAAAAGTGCCACCATGTTTTTTCGTATTGAAAGTGGAAGTGATGTAACACTCTTTTGCGTCCACTGTGTGATGAGACACCTAGCTAACAGGCGGGAAGCCTCACTTTCTTCATTCACTGCGTGCTCTACTAGTAATATGGAGTCATGTCAGCGCTTACTGAGCTTCAAAGAGGGCAAATTGTTGGTGCTCACATAGCTGGTGCCTCTGTGACTGAAGTTGTCAATTTATTTACTATGTCGTGAGGTATTCTATCAAAGGTTATAACAGCATATACAGTTTCCAGGAAAACATCGTCTGATAAGTATACGCACAGTCCACATCATCAACTGACCAAACGAGACAAAAGGACATTGTGCAGAATGTGACCCGGAATAAGAAAACAACAGCTGCAAAACAGACTGAAGAGCTCAATCTCAGTCTTCATGGCCAACTTCAGTCACAAAGGCACCAGCTAAGCCGGCACCAACAATTTGCCCTCTTTGAAACTCAGTAAGCTCTGACACGACTCTGTATTACTAGCAGCGCACACAGTGAATGATGAAAGTGAGGCTTCCCACCGGTTAGCTAGGTGTCTCATCACACAGCAGAAGCTTCCACTTTCAATGTGAAACATGTCATCACTTTCACATCTGCAAATCATGTAGTGTTTCAATTTTTTTGTCCAACCCTTGTATACCCAGGCCTTTTTTTTTTTTTAGCTTTTGCTGAATCAGGAAGGTTTAGAACTTCCATCAGGTTTTTATTTGCTTTCTGTGTCCCCATTGGCGAGATTTTTCCTAATTTCCTATTAGGGCTGGAGGTTCAAAAATATCTCTCCAGTGGGGACACAGGCTGAAACAGGGGAAGAGGGAAGGATTAGAATCTCTATCAGGAATTTCAACCCATGTATGCATGGCCAGCTTAACCTCCCTGGAGGTATTCCCGAGTGTAGCTCGGGGTAAAGTTTCAGCACCACAAACGGTAAACCCCGAGCTACACTCGGGAATACCCTGCAGCGCTGCTCTGGGATCTCTTCTTCACTTACCTTGTTCTTCGCTCCCGCGATGTCCCCCCTGCAGTGTCCCCGGCAATGTCCTCCAGCCGATGCCGGCATCCGTCTTCTGGGTTCCGTCCCCTGCGACGTCAGAACGTACGGGGGACGGAACGGCGGGAAATTTAAAAATGTGAAAAAGTGACATTCACTAAATACACTAAAATCACATAGTAAAACATTACTGTATCAAAGCATTTCACATACATTTTGTACCTAGTGCTTTGTCCTGTGCCCTGCCTGCATTTTTACTGTTCTTTCTGCCTGGAAACTGAGAAATGTTCATGGCGTCCAAAAAGTGTCCCTTTAGGTCAAAAGTGGTTTTAGACCAGCTAGAGAACAGTGATAGTAAATTAGAACCACTTGCAGAATTGAGCGATAATGATTCGTGGGGAAATTCGTCATCAGACACTGAAGACGATTTTGCGACTTTGCTCAGCGATGTGCGAACTTGGCGCTATATTTCAAATTTCAGTGTTTTTGGTTTCATTATATTATTGAATTAAATTTTATTATTATTATATTATTATTTTTTTTATTATTATTTATTATAATAATATTATTATATTATATTAATGATTATTATAATTTATGATTTCGTGTTTCAAATTTTAACATACCTGGGATGTTTACTAGACTCTTGTTCAGACAGATTTCAGTGAGTTATTCCTAAAAATGACAGGCCTACAATAAAAAAATACATATTTCCATGCAAAAAAATGTACCGCTTTGAGCACAGAAATACTGACATAATGAGACCGCTAGGGAGGCTCCGGAACAAGAGGCTGTGGGGACCAATCGTTAAGGTTGGAGAAGCCTGTGGGAGCAGAGAATTAGGTAATTAAAAGTACTTGCTATGATCCCCTAGACCTAAATGAGCATTTAATGTCTGCAGTGCGGGAGCAGCCCTACTGCAAGAGAGCATTTTTGTTTTCCCCCAGAGTTCAGCTTTAAGATCAAGACCAAATGCATTACACCAGCACATTCCCTGTACCTGTAAGCATCATTCTCATAATATATGTTATGCCGATCACTGCCATATGTCTAATAGTCAGCTTACTCTGCATAGCTGTCAACCTCATTCTTAAGCTGGTCATACACTGCAGACTGAACGAAAAAACTCTGACAGATTCCTTCATCATTGCTATACAGTGTGGATGAATCTACTGTGCTGGCTGATGTATCTTGGCGGACAGTGCCGGCAGCTGTCAGAATACCTGAACAGTGGCTGTATCTGATTGGATGCAGATGCTGCCCAGACAATAATTTTCTGCTGGGCTCCCTTCATTTTTCAGTTGAAGGATCTCAGACAGGAAGGTGCTAAAAAAAGGCCATTCACAAATCTAATTTCAGCCCGTTCATCAGGAAGTGTATGGTCAACTTTACTATGTACGAGGTTTGACAATTTAATTCCCGAAATGCCCGCAGTGTAGCACTGTGTTGGTGAGTTCCACGTCCATTCGCACTGGAGCGTGTTCTGACATGTTCTAACTTGCACTCACCTGGGTCACAGACCAGCTGACTCTTTACAGAGTAGTAGAGGAAATAACACGTGTGTGTGCGGTACGCTGTTGGTGGAAAGTGAGTTACAAGAACCTGGAGCAGCAGATTAACATCAAATTTTGCATGAAAATTGGCTAAAAAGTGCTAGTGAAGCTTTAGCTCTGTTACAACAGGCTTATAGTGAACATTCCATGAAAAAATCAAGTGCTTTTGAATGACATAGGCGGTTTAAGGAGAGTGGGAAGATGTCCACGATGACACAAGAAGTGGGCAGCAAAAAAAATGCAAAGGATGGATTCAAATGTGGACAGAGTGCAAACCCTCGTACGCTCAGATTGAAGATTGAATGTGCAAATGATGGCAGAAGAATTGAACATAAACAGGAAAACAGTGCGACAGATTTGGGAATGAGAAAGGTTTTCACAAAGATGGTGCCTCGAATCTTGACAGAAGATCAGAAAGAACATCGTCTTCAAATTTCAGCGGATCTTTTGAAGAATGCAGACATGTTTCATAGGGTTTTTACCAGCTCATTCTGGAAATTAAATTGTTACACCTCGTATACCTGACTTTGTATCAACCTGACCTAGGCCTGGTTCAAAGGATCAGTCTCAACACCTCAGCTTATATTCATACTAAGCTGAGAACCATAAACTCAGCCTACAAAGGGTCTCAAGAAGGAACAAAGCTCATTAGTAGCCCATGCCTTCTAAATCTCCAGACAAGAGCCATACAGATTTAGCTACTTGCTTGAGTGAGTGATTAATCCAGTTTTGTACTGTATGTAAGCCCTAACAAAACATTTCTCCCCTTTGATTTATAACATATACAGTACACCTGAAAGTATTTTGTTATACCTGTTTGATAAGTACATTTCTCTAGTCCTAAAAACACTTCCTGTCCTATGTTGACTACACTGCTCCTCCATAGATACAGTATGGTGTATAAAAGGTGTTACCCTAGAACACAATGTGCATTATCAGCTGGATCCCCAGGTGAAAAAAAAAAGAAAAAACACTGAAAGAAACAAAGAAACCTAATGCAGCCACCATAGCTAAGGACTAGTAAGGACTGCAATATAACCTATTTTTGTTCTTGTTTTAGAAATATTTTTAGAGGAAACCAACAAATACAGTGGATATAAACAGTCTACACACCCCTGTTAAAATGTCAGGTTTCTGTGATGTAAAAAAATTATAAATTATTTCAGAACTGGTTCCACCTTTAGTGTGACCTATAAACTGTACAACTCAGTTGAACAACAAACTAAAATCTTTTAGGTGGAGGGAAATAAAAAAAAAAAAAAAAATAATGTGGTTGCATAAGTGTGCACAACCTTAAACTAATATGTTGTTGAAGCACCTTTTGATTTTATTACAGCACTCAGTCTTTTTGGGTAGGAGTCTATCAGCATAGCACATCTTGACTTGGCATATTTGCCCACTTTCCCTTGCAAAAACACTCCAAATCTGTCAGATCACCCCACAGATTTTCAAGTTTCAGGTCTGGGCTCTGGCTGGGCCATTCTAAAACTTTAATTTTTTTCTGGTGAAGCCATTCCTTTCTTGATTTGGATGTATGCTTTGGGTCGTTGTCATGCTGAAAGATGAGGTTCCTCTTCATGTTCACCTTTCTAGCAGAAGCCTGAAGGTTTTGTGCCAATATTAACTGGTATTTGGAACTGTTCATAATTCCCTCTACCTTGACTAAGGCCCCAGTTTCAGTTGAAGAAAAACAGCCACAAAGCATGATATTACCATCACCGTGCTTCACTGTGGTTATGGTGTTCTTTTGGTGATGTGCAGTGTTGTTTTTGCATCGAACATATCTTTTGGAGTTATGGCCAAAAAGTTTAACCTTGGTTCCATCAGACCATAAACACATTTTCCCACATGCTTTTGGGAAACTTCAGATGTGTTTTTGAAAAATTTAGCCAGGCTTGGATGTTTTTCTTTGTAAGAAAAGGCTTCCATCTTGCCACTCTACCCTATAGCCCAGACATATGAAGAATACGGGAGATTTTTATCACATGTACCACACAGCCAGTACATGCCAGATATTCCTGCAGCTCCTTTAATGTTGCTGTAGGCCTCTTGGCAGCCTCCAGGACCAGTTTTCTTCTCGTCTTTTCATCAATGTTGGAGGGACATTGTCACGTACCTGATGGGAGACTGAAATGACGAGGTCGGCCTCACTTGTGTCACTAGCCCTGACCCCGCTTGAATTGGAACAGAGGGAGTCTAGGGACCAGGGGGACAAGAGCACCAGTAGATGTTGTTTACAGCTCTTGCAGATGATGACCTTAGAAGACTGATGATCTTCTGTTTCAGGCACAGTAGTCACAGGCAGCGCGGGTTTTGTAGAACACCAGGAGCACACCAGAGCAAGACAGGAAGTGAGGGTCAGAGACAGGAGCAGTGTCATAGGAATAGCCAGGGTCATCAACAGGCGGACAGCACGGTACAGAATCAGCAGCAAAGCCAAGGTCAGGAGCAGAGCTGAAGTCAGGAACCAGTATCAATCAGGAGAACAATCGGAGTCAGGTCAGGAACAAGCTGGGTCAGCAACAAAGGAATCTCACAGGAACAAGCAGGACACGGGGCGGAACTGAAGACCAGTCAGCACCAAACATGGGCAGAGGCACTCTTTAAATAGCCCTTCTGGCGCCAACCTTCCCCAAGCGTGTGCACGTGCGCGATCGCGCATTTCCACACGTATGCGCACAACCGACCACTCTTCTTCGGACGTTTCTATGCGCATGCGCATTTCTTTTCCCGATTCGTCTCACCGGAAATCCCTTACAGACATCCAGTTCTTGGTAATGTCACTGTTGCGCCATATTTTCTCCACTTGATGATGACTGTCTTCACTGTGTTCCATGCTATATCTAATGCTTTGGAAATTCTTTTGTACCCTTCTCCTGACTGATACTTTTAACAATGAGATCCCTTTGGTGCTTTGGAAGCTCTCTGCAGACCCTGGCTTTTGCTGTAGGATGCGACTAAGAAAATGTCAGGAAAGACCTACTAGAACAGTTGAACTTTATTTGGAGTTAATCAGAGGCACTTTAAATGATGGCAGGTGTGTACTGACTCCTATTTAATATGATTTTGAATGTGATTGCTTAACTCTGAACACAGCTACATCCCTAGTTATAAGAGGGTGTGCACACTTATGCAACCACATTATTTTAGTTTGTATTTCAATTGAGTTGTACAGTTTATATGTCACATTAAAGGTAGAAAAAGCTCTGCACTTATTTATCCTTTTTTTCACTTTTTTACATCACGGAAACCTGACATTTTAACAGTGGTCTATAGACTTTTTATATCCACTGTATATAGGATCAATAAAGTTTCAGGACAAGTGTTAGAACCATATGTTGGTGAAAAATACTTCAGCTATTAAATAGCAACTCTTTCTTCATTGATGTACCTGCTAACATGAGGTGGTGACTCTCAGCTCACACTCTTAGTGTGAAATTTATTCATAATTGCTTTTCTAATTAAAGTTGAATGCATTGACAGTCATTCTATTTCTTTGACTTATGATGTGATTATAAGAAGACAGCACACATAGAAGTAGATTGTTAGCAATCTGTGAAAATCCATCATGCTGGCCTTGTCATGTAATGACATTATACATAACAAAGGTTTTTCCAGTGCTAACCAGATTGTATCCAGTACTGTCACTGAGGACTGTGAGAGCTTCTTAATCCATTATTGGTCCCATCATAGTCCAATGGTTTAAAATATTCCCATGGCTAGAAGAACAAGAATAGAAACATTCACTGAGCATATGTATCTTTTTCATAAGGATTTCCAGATCCATTAATTATTTATCTAGTTGATTAGGGGTATTTATTAGGTAAA